CCTGCCACAGCGCCCGGCTATTTTTTGGTTGCAGCCATTATTGTTGTTTGGTGGGCTGGGCTGGATTCGAACCCGCCATCTTGGGTGTATGTGGCTGGCGCCTTAGCCACTTGAGCCACAGGCGCCGAGCCACAAATCACATAATTCTTAATAACAGTATTAGAGCTAGAATTTGTCTAGCTGTTATCTATGAAACTATTTTACTTCTCTTTTAATACTAATGTTTTACTATTTCTTGACCTCAGCAAAGACTACTAATTAGTGTGAATGGAAGTAAAAGAAATTGTTTGCTGTCTGTAAATTATAGATTTATAATTTAAATCTTCAGTTTTTGCATGTGAAATAGAGAAGACAAGTAAATATTGAAAGATTTTAAGTGCATAATAATGGGTGAGGTAAACTTTAGTGAAAAAAGATCAGATTTTTAGTTCTTTCAATTTGTATATAGTTTATTTAATATATATTATAGGATAGTTAGTAGAGATAATAGATGTTCAGTTTTTCAAAATTCTTTCCATAAGTATTTGATTATTGTTCAAAGAGCTATAGGATTATAAACATGAATGTATGTTTAGCTCCTAACTACTTGCCTAATTAAAACCAGGATGCGACGTACGTGATAAATATATGGCAAAATGTTAATAGTGGTAGAATCTGAATGGTGAGTATATGGATGTTCACAGTATAATTCTTTCATCTTTTTTTGTATAATTGAAAATTTTAATAATAAGTTGAAGAGGGAAAGTGGGCAATACATTTTAATAACCTCAATCTTAGTCTGTTTTAGCTTATTTTTGTTTAAAACCAGCAGTTTTAACTTACTGAATTTGTTACAGATGCCAGAGTGGTACTGTTCGAACAAACTGCTTGGATTGTCTTGATAGAACAAATAGTGTACAGGCATTCCTTGGCTTAGAGGTAAAAAATAAATTAAAATGTATGTGCCTTGTTACACCCCTTTAAGTACTTTTGTCTTAAAGCGTACTTTAGTACATTTCATTAGTTGCTTTTCAGAAAATATGAATTAAGTATGCTTCGTTATGCTTCATTAAAGGCATTTGTTTGTCTTTTTTTTTTTTTTGGCCAAATTCCCTTTTGATTTAAACATTTCCTTTACTTTCTTTTTATATTCACTTCAGGTAGTTTGTTTATTTACTTTCTTCTGTGTTGTTCTTTAACTTTCCATTTTTCAAACTACATTCATACTTTGTCAACAATTGTTTCTTTGGGGAGAAAAATATGTATATTTGGGTTTTTATTCATTATTGTCTTTTAAAAGTCTGTCTTAGGATGGGAAGGTCTGTTTTCACATGTACCATTCTATAGGATTATGTTTTTGACAGATTTTAACCCAGTCCAGTTTAGTGTTTTAAAAGGAGTAGCTACAAAAATGAAAATAAAACAAAAGGAAAAAAAGAATCAGATGAAAATACTATAGTTAGAATGAAAATGAATGAGGTTTAACTTCTCTGATGGTCTTTTTTTTTTCGTTACCACTTTTTCCTCAAATTCAGTTTAATGTAAACATAGTCTCAACTATTTGACAAACTGTATAGCAATGCTGAGCTTTCCAAGTCTTCTCCAGGTGCACAAGTTAGGGTGGTGAGGCTGTGGCAGATCTACATTTAGTTCCATGGAATTTAGAATAGCTCTCAAATACTATTTAAACAGGAATAGGAAGTACTTCGTAACATGCTCTTATTTCCTCTAGTTAATGATCTGAAATTGGGCCAGAATACTGATTAATTAGTTGCTTCGCAGCTGAGATTCTTTATATCTCAAAAATGAAAATACGGTGTATATAATTTTCTGCTATAGAAATATATTTTGTGTGTAACTAAATGAATTCTACTGTTTGAACTTCTTTGAAAGACAATTGAGGTTTATCATTGTAATGTATTTAGAAAGTATGACAGAAACAAAGTGAAAGCAGGCATGTTGGTTGGTTATTTATTTATTTTGAGACAAGAGTCTCAAGCTGTCACCCTGGGTGAAGTGCTGTGATGTCACAGCTCACAGCAGCCTCAAACTCTTGGGCTTAAGCAATTATTTTGCCTCAGGCTCCCAAGTAACTGGGACTACAGTCACCTGCCACATGCCTGGCTATTTTTTGTTGCAGTTGTCATTGTTGTTCAGCAGGCCCCGGGTCAGGTTTGAACCCTCCAGACCTGGTGTGTGTGGCCAGCGCCCTAATCACTGAGCTACAGGCACTGCCCATGTTTGTCATTTAGATAGTGTTTGTCACATGGCTCAGATTTGTTTCAAGTTCTAGTTTTAAGTGGCCAAATAAATTTACATAGATTCTTAAGAGTAAACTTACTGAAATACTTGAACCTCTTTATTAAAAGTATGACATGTTAATTAGAACCTGTGTTAGCTGATTCTCCACTGTTGGTAGTTAGGTATAAACATACTCCCTAGTATAGCAGTTGGTTAACTGATTATAGAATTTACTGCTAAAGTAGGCAAAGCCAAACTAATAGGGATGTAAAATCAGTTTTGCCCAATTTCTTGAAGAGAGAGAGGTTTAAATGGTAAAGGAGACCCTGGGACTCATTTTTGTTTTATTGTGCATGCTAGCAAAGAACAGCTCTGGCATAAGTCTCTACCTAATAAAATGAACCTAATTTAGAGTTTTTAAATATTAGTGTTTAATTCTTCTGTAATCATGGATAATCACTATAGTTATAGATAAAGTAAAATAAAACCTAAGTGGAAAGGAGTTAAGTAAAAATGGAAGGCATAGAATGTGACTAGATTCTGAAAAGGAGAAGCAGACTAGATAAGTATTACACATTGCTTTGACTCTGCCAATTTTTTTTTTTTTTTTTATAGAGACAGAGTCTTACTTTGTTGCCCTCAGTAGAGTGCTATGGCGTCACACAGCTCACAGCTACCTCCAACTCCTGGGCTTAAGTGACTCTCTTGCCTCAGCCTCCCAAGTAGCTGGGACAACAGGCACCTCTCACAGCACCCAGCTATTTTTTGGTTGCAGTTTGGCCGGGGTTGGGTTTGAACACACTACCCTTGGTATATGGGGCTGGCGCCACACTCATTGAGCTATAGGAGCTGCCCAGCTCTGCCAATTTTAAGGCTAGAATTCAGAGTAAAGATCACTAACTTTTCTGGGCACTTTTGTTTTGATGAAGGAATTGTTGTAGTCCAAAGGTCCTTGAATTCATCTCATGCTCTTGTTTCCTGTTGTTCATCCTTCTACATATTACTGATACAGATTTTAGACATTAAAGCTGTCATGACTTTATTCTTTTTTTTTTTTTTT